CACTGGGGATGTGCCCGCAACCAAGGTACATGCCCTTGACCGGAATTGAACCTGGGACCCTTCAGTCCGCAGGCCCACGCTCCATCCACTGAGCCAAACCGGTCAGGGCTCTCCGCCATTTTGAGGTGAGCAAAATGCCCACAGAGTCAGCCATCCACCAACTCTTCACCGCTGAGCAAACAGCCAACCCAACCACAGCCGCCATGTTGGCCACGTGACTTGCCTAGGGGCCACCATCTTGAAATGGCAAAGGCCAACCCCTCCCTTTGAATTAGCCAATCAGGAAAGACCGTGCACCTGAGCTCCAATCAAGAGTGAGAGACGGGTCACGTGTGTCAGATTAAAAAGCGAGCGCCAGCCCTCTCAGTGTATGGTGCTCCCAGGCCATGTGCACGTGCCCTTCTGCAGGAGGGAAGATGTTTGCCTGGCTCCCATTCTCTCTGTGTTCCACCAGGACCCCTGAATTTGGGGGCTCACCTTATTTCTTACAAAGGGACCCCCAAAGAGCCTCAATAATCTTGAAAAAGGAGAACAAAACGAGAGACCTCATGATTCCTAACTCCAAAACTTACTGCCCTGTTCACGATAATGAACGTGGCAATGCTTTCTTGGATATGGCACAAAAAGCACAAAACATAAAAAACAGACAAACTGGACTCCATGAAAATCTAAAGCTCCTATGATTAACAGAGTGAAAAGGCAGCCCACAGAATGGGAGGAAATATTTGCATATCCATACATATGACAAGAGGTTGATAGCCAGGAAAACAGAGAACTGAATAACAAAAATCCAAATGACTCCATTCAAAAACTGGAAAAAGACTTGAATAGACAACTCTCCAAAGAAAATATAGGAATAGTTAGTAAGCCCATGAGAGACGTTCAATATCACTAATCGTTCGGGATAGGCAGATCAAAACACAATGAGGTGCCACCTCACACCTACTGGGATAGCTACTAAAAAAAAAGCAGAACACAGCAAGTGTTGGCAAGGATGTGGGGTAACCTGAGCCCTTGCAGATTGCTGATGAGCATGTAGACGGTACAGCTGCTATGGAAAACAGTATGCTGGGCCCCCTCCCCCAAAGCTAAAAATAGAATTACCACCCGGCCCAGCACTTCTACCTCTTAGTATTTACCCAGAAGAATTGAAGGCGGGGTCTGGAAGAGATATCTGTACCCCCACAAGCGCAGCAGCATTATCCTCAGCAGCTAAAACGTAGAAGCAACCCGTGTCCACAGACTCCAGGATAAGCAAAATGTATACAGCACAATGCAATGTGATCGCCATGAGATAGAAGGAAGGCCTGCCATTAGCTACACGAATGGACCTCAAGGGCATTATGCTGAGTGAAATAAGTCCAAGACAAACACAGTATAAAGTATGATCTCACTTACTAGTATATGTGGCATAAAAAGCTGAGCTCAGTCTCATCATGAAATCGGGGGTAATCATACTGCTGTGCTGGGAACTGAGCTAGTGCATGTGCTGGGCTTAGCACAGTGCCTGGCCCCTCCTACATGTTCGCTGAATATTAGCTCTTACTAACTATTTATAGGGCATATCAGTTTTCAAACCATTTCATACATGTTAGTTTTATATATCCTTAGAAGAGAGAGCCCACGAAGCTTAGGAACTAGAGCACAAGGGGTTACGTGACTTGCTTGATGCCTGGAGGAGAACGCTTCCCCTAATTCCGTTTTCTTAAAAGGGCTTCTTCCCTAAACAGACTCTTCCCTAAACAGACTCCGGGTGCCTCTCCTCTGCAGCCCTCCCTTCCCGGGAGGCAGAGTGACTTACCTGAGGGCTGAATTGGGGAAGAAGAACAGATGGGCTTGGCTTGCTCTGTCCTTCCTTTGGGAGTGGCCAGCAGCAAACATGACTCCCCCAGGCCTTCTGCGTGCGACTGGGGGTGAGCGGGCGGTTCTGGGGTTTCCTCTGAGCTAGCTCCCTCGGCTCACAGACAGATCTGAGGCTGGCATCTCCACCTAGACTTCCCTGGGGGTGAGGGGCGGGGGCAAGTTGGCTGGCTTCGTTGTCTGTGTGCCTATCATGGATCTGCTGCCAAGCCGAGGGACAGAAAACCGAGGGGTTTGTGAAACCTCTCTCCACGCGGGCAAGCATGCTGAGTCATCAGATCCACCTTTTCCTTAGAGACACTCTCCCGGGGGCCTTCCATCCGCCCTCCTGCTCCCACATCTTTATTGCCTTGATAATGACTCAAGTGGAGACTAAAGTACCAGGCAAACTGTGGCAGGGGCTACCGGTGACCTGCTCGAATCTATTCTCTCTCCCCTTAACAACAAAATGTGGGTTTGGGTTCGTTTTGTTGCTGCCTAGAGAGAGGGGATGTGTGTGGTGCCTGGTGACTAAGTTCTGGCTGATAGGCAACACGCAGAAATGCCGTGTGGTGTGTCCAGGAATTCTTAAAGGGAGGAGGCTCATCCTGCCTTTCTTCTTCCTCGTCCTGTTGCCCAAACTTGGATATGGCCGCTGTGGCTGTGGCTGTGGGTGTCTTCGTATTGTGAGGAGGTCCAGACGCCAGAGCGAGGAAGCTGTGGGCCAGCGAGGGCCTGGCTTCCTGTGACGTGACTGAGCTGCCACACCAGCTCCGAACTGCTAACCTGGAGGCTTCAGTGAGAGAGAAACAACCTTATCGCTGACTTAAGCCACTGTTGTTTTGTTATCAGCCCCATAGAAACAGCCTCAAGCCCTCCTTCCTGGTCCTTTCTCCCCAACCAGACTGCCAGTCTACACCCGTTCATGTCAAACGCGGGAGGGGAGGGGAGATTTCAACAGCAAGTTAAATGTATTTGCAAGGGGGAAATGATTGAGCTTTACACTGGGGGCCAGAGAACTTTAAAAAGCTCTATCCTAAGAACAAGGAAGTGGCCAGACGTCTGCACTTGGTGGCTGACAGTCCACAACCAAACTCCTGAATCTCACCCTCCAGGCCCGTGCCCTCCGTCTTCTTCCTCTTTCGCTCCCTGGCAGCGTCTCTCACACTGTCCACCTGGCGGACACCAGCCACCTGAAATGTAGCTCCCGGAATTGAGACAATCGGAAGTGAAAAATACACATCACACTTCCAAGACTTCACATGAAAAAGAGAATTTGAAATATCTAATTCATAGCCTTTTTTATTGATCGCATGCTGAAATCGTTTTCGATAGACCGAGTTAAGTAAAATACATTATTAAAATGTCACCTGTTTCTTTTTTTCTTTCTCTGATGGGGTGACTTGAAAATTTTCAGTTACCTCTGGTATATACTGACACGGTATATTTCTATTGGACAGCAACGTCCTCTCAGGCTAAAAAACACGGGGGCCGTCTTTGTGGGGTTTTTACAAAATAAACTTTTATTGATTTCAGAGAGAAAAGGAAAGGGAGAGATAGAAATATCAATGATGAGAGAGAATCATTGATCCACTGCCTCCTGCACACCCCCTACTGGGGATCGAGTCTGAAACCTGGACATACGCCCTGACCTGTGACTGAACCATGACCTCCTGGTTCATACAGAGGTCCATGCTCAACCACTGCGCCATGCTGGCCGGGCTGGAGCCATCTCTGATTCATTTCTCTCCCTCGGCGAATTGTGTAGGCTCTGCCTTCAAAATGGGTCCATAATTCAACCTCTCACCACCTCCATTGTTCTGCGCGCGCGCACACACACACATGCGCGTGCCTACCTCTTGTATGGGTATTTGAAACCGCTTCCTAGCTGGTCTCCTTGCCTCCGTCCACACCATACCTGACAGTTTATTTAGCTACCAGAGGCCGAACGCACAAAATTTGTGCAGGAGTAAGTAAACCTGCCTTCCCCCGGCCGCCGGCACCAGCTTCCCTCTGGCACCCGGACCCGTGGCACCTGGGCCACGCCTTCAACTTCTGGCCTAAAACACAGGGTGTCCCCAACAAATGTCTACACACTTTAACCGCTGATGGCTCAATGTTGAAAATGAAATGTTTTAACCAACACTGCCTTTCTAATCATTCAGAGTGTGTGCATACATTTGGGGGGACACCCTACGTGTGCAGCTGCAGGCAACAGGGATCCTTGATCTCACAGGATCCTGGGGCTTCAGGTCAGACACTGTGAGCACAGCCGGTGTGCATGTCGTGGGTGGTTACCGGGCCTCATGGTTGGTTACCCGCCGCCCGCACCCACTTAGTCCTGGGGCTGCATCATTGGGGAGGTGGCCCCGTATTGGGGCTACAGGTGGGGACACATGACAGGGGCTGTAGCCAGGTCCATTTGAGACGCGGGGAAATCAAGGCTCAGACAACTTGGGCCAAGTACACTGAGGCCACGAAATAAATAAAAATTAAAAATAACAGCGAAGACCCCAAACTCATGGAGGAAC